CCACAGGACCTCGACGGCCAATCCAACGACCGGGGAAATTGTTATCTAAATCATTCCTAACTTGTCTGTAGTAGTGTGGTGGAACACCATCTTGCTGAAATACAATATCAGTAACGAATTCATTAGGATTCGCTTCGACGATTTCGGTGATTAGAGGGTCAATCGTATTTTCCAGCATATCCAAATACAGTTCCCCGGTTAAAGTTTGTTCGATGAATAGAGGCCCCACAATATGATTTCCCAATATCCCAGTCCAAACGTTAATTTCTTGTCGATATTGAGTATGAGTTCCCCGGAAGACGTGAGGATTGGTGTCACTCCAGTAACGACAATTTTGTCTATGCACATTACCGTTGAGAAAAAATGTACATCACTAAAACAAATATTTTGGATATAGGTAGGATGCCGTGCAATGGTTTCCGTCATAGTCTCGCAGAATACTCATCTTCAGTTAGCTGATGTACCATTTGAATTTTGTATGGGTGATACTTATTCTTTTTCAAAAGTCTCCATACAGTAGAAGGACAAACCTCACATACATTCGCGATGGAGGAAGTAGGCTGTTGGGGATTTACTATGATCTCACCAATTATTTGAACTTGCTTTTCTTCCGGGATGGTCGGATGACCTGGGGGCTTTTTGTTGTTTACACTACCAGTAGCTGTAAATTTAGATACAAGTTGACTTAAATATTTTCTACAGATACGACGATTCGGGAAACGATCATCAAAAATCCTTTCGGTCTCGTGTCTACGCGTCGCACCATAAATAAAAATCGTTTCAATTTTTTCTTCCAATGGACGAAAATTGACCATTTTAAAAATAGTTCAAACAGTATCTAGGACTAAAACCGAAAACTAAATAAGAATATTTTAACTGTACAATAATGTTTGTTTTCGTGCTGATATTCTTGTCACTGTCAACAAAAAATAACAAAACAAGTTTTTATTGCTGTGGCTGAGGATACGGCAGGGAATTACAATATTATTTGTGGGTTTGTGTTCAAGTAATTACTAAATGTACCACCATTTTGTAGAAGGTAAAGGTATTGACTTTATATTCTAGGGTTATAAAGTACTCGTCAGGAGCTTCAAAATGATGTACCTCAAAACCCTCGTTTCCTTATAATTTGTCTTTCCAAGATGGCGCACAGCGGCCATCTTGACATTTTCATTTGTCAATTTTACTCTAAAATATGGTATCCACGCATCAATTTCATTGCCTCAAGTTCTGATTTTTTTAATTGATTTGTTCAAAAAATCAAAGGGGAGGGGACATTAAAGAAAAGCACTGTATAGCATTCCTTTATGATGAAAAAAAAATCTCCAAATTAGAGTTAACTCAAATTTCAAATACAGTATGATCATAAAGAAATCCAGTTAGCTGACAAAATTAAATACTAGAAAGAAATTTAAAGTGGACGGCACTCAGAGAGGTCTTAGTGAAAAAACTAAGATGTCTTACCCCAAAATTATTAAAGTATTTTCGAGATTTTCTATATATTCTGTACCACGCTCTTGTCTACCTCATTCTATCATATCGTATATTAGCATGGTGAGGACTCATGAACAATTACTATAAAAAGATTGCGATCGCACAGAAGTGGATACTGAAACTGATCCTTCTTAAGGAGATTAGATATCTAACATATTGTAACAAGAATGAGTGATATTACTAGCGACATCTGTTGGGAACTGCGCCAGAGACTATCCTTCGGTGCGAGACTACTAGAGACATCTGTTGGGGACGGCGCCAGGCACTCTGCATCGAGATCGAAGACTGGCCCCGAAGGTTTTGTACTGCCGCTATGTGGCATACCGGAAGCTTCTCGAACTAACGAGTACCTGCGATGCGGTATATTTAAGCCGACGGCGGGGAGAGGGAAGTAGAGTTGAGGGAATGGCGCGACATAATAATTCGTAGATAGTCAGACGTAAATAGTAGTGTACATAAATGTTCTAGCTAGTTAAGTTAAAGTTAGTTATGTTGTGTCTTAAATAAATTAGTGCATTTTTTCTTTTGGGATCGAGTCTTTTTTTAATCCACACCCAAAAGAACCCAGAAAAACACAACACTATAATATTTACTTAGAAGCTCAATTCGCAGACGTTAGACAAATATACTTCTACAATGAATTATTGATGTACCACGTTAAAAAATAAGATACGTCTAAATCCTATCAATCACAACTATCAAACAAGGCTTAAACAAAATTCAGTATCTGCGCTAAAATTCACAAAAACCATCGGCCCAACATTTTTCAAACATATTCCGACAACAATAAAAGTTATTAAAACATCTAGAAGATTTAAAAAAGAAATCAAGTCATGCATTATTTAGCAACCGAGGAACTCGTCCATAAACTTACAGACATTAAAAATCATTATTGACCTTAAAGAATTTATGTATTAATGTTTGAACTGCATTGAAGGAGAAAGATTCGGAGCAAAATCAGATTAACATTAAAAATTGTCTAAATAAGATAGGATTAAGTGTAAACCTAGAAAAATATAAACTTGTACAATTAACTGCATTATTTAAGGTTGCTGTACTTACTCATTTATATGTTAATGATATGTGAATATTTAAGGGTGTGAATCTACATCAAAAATTAATGTTAGTTTGCTTTATAAACTATGGTCCAAAAATGTATCCGTAGAAAAACTCGGGGTGTTGAACTTCTAGGAAACAAATGGAAATTAATTAATATTTTCAGAGCCGCTTCAGATATTTCACTGATATTTAGTACGTAGTGAAAGTTAATAAAGTTGCATATTTTTCAATGCAAAAATAATTTTTAGCTTTAACAGTGGAGTGCGTACGGGTGTTGACTTCGATATTTTTTAAGAAAAAAATGGTACGTCAATGGTTTTTTGCCAAAAATAGTTTTTGAATTCCCCGTTCAATTTAAAACAAACGATCTCTCCTGAATTGTTTCTCTTCGATGCGCCATTTTTGGAGTAATAAAATAAAAACCGTTCTATTGTCCAAGAAAATTAATGTAATAATTCAAAGATGCAATTTAGCAATAAATATCTAGTTGCTCTGGAATATGCCACGGCTTTTGACATCTGACAAGTCTCTGTTATTCAAATCTGTTCGCTGTGATATCTTTTTAATTATTTAGTTTTTACAATCTTGTTAATAACGGTGAATTATTCAAATGGAGAAATGGCGGAAATGCATTACGTATATGGCCTTGCCGACGGTAATGGTGAGCAAGCCAGATGGATTTATTACCAGAGATATCCCGATCGTGCTTTGCCAGATAGTCGAACCTTTTCTAATATTCATCGTCGTCTTGTTGAAACCGGTTCTGTCCGAAAAGGAACATCTGAAGGTACACCTCTGAGTGTGAGAACACCTGAAATTGAGGAAGTAATTGTGTACGAAGTCAAAGAACATCCTGAAACAAGTACGAGGAAGATCGCTGGACACTTAAATATTTGCCATCAAATTGCTTGGAGAATTTTAGTGGATTCTGTGTTATATCCTTACTATATTTTAAGAGTACAGGCATTACCTCCCATTGATTTTCCAAGGCGTGTGACCTTTTGTCAGTGGTATCTTCAAAAAATTACACAAAATCCGCAATATGAATCAATGATTCTGTTCACGAACGAAGCTAATTTTTCTCGAATTGGCATTCAGAATTTCCACAATAATCATTTGTGGGCAGAAAAAAATCCCTATGCCGTAACCGAAACCCATTTCCAACACCAATTTTCGGTTAACATATGGGCAAGAATTATTGGCAACCACTTTATTGGCCCATTCTTCTTGCCGGGACGACTTGACGGACAGACTTACCTCAATTTTCTTCAACAACCGTTGCCTTTGCTGCTTGATGATGTTCCTTTAGTAATCAGAAACAATATGTGGTACATGTATGATGGTGCACCAGCACATTTCAGTGTAGCGGTGCGTAATTATTGACAAACTGTTTATCCAAATCGTTGGATTGGCCGCGGTGGGCCCCAAGAATGGCCACCAAGGTCCTCAGAGCTCACCAGTTTAGATTTCTTTTTGTGTGGCTGTCTTAAGACACTAGTGTACACAAGTCCCATTAACACTGTAGAGGAATTAGGAGAAAGAATAGTTGCAGCTGGTGATAGAATAAAAAACACTCCAGGGATATTTCAACGAGTGCGCAATTCCATGAGAAGGAGGGCGGTAGCAGGCATACTAAGTGAAGGGGGCCATTTTCAACAATTTTTGTAATCATTTCGTTGGTTTTAATGTCATGTTTATGTTGTCAGTTGTTGTTGTTCATTACCCCTAATGTGTTTAATTTTTCCAATTAAGTTAATAATAATTTTACAAGTAAGACAATAGAACGGTATTTATTTTTTTAATCAAAAATGACGCATCGAGAGAAAACAACTCAAGAGAGATCATTTGTTTTAAATTGAATGGGGAATTCAAAAATTAAAACTATTGGCGTACCATTTTTCTCTCAGAAAAATGTCTAAGTCAATACCAGTACGCACGCCACTGTTAAAGCTAAAAATTATTTTTGCATTGAAAAATATGCAACTTTATTAATTTTCACTACATACTAAATATCAGTAAAATATCTGAAGCGGTTCTGAAAATATGTTAATTAACTTCCATTTTTTTCCTAAAACCTCAACACCCCGAGTTTTTGTAAGGAAACATTTTTGGACCATAGTTTATAAAGCAAACATTAATGTTTCAAGTAGATTCACACCCTTAAATATTCGCATATCATTAACACCCTGTATATTTTTTCATTCTCATAAGAACCCAAACACAAATTCAAACTTCTTGGAGTATTTTATGTTTATTATAAAATGACTATTTTGTGTACGTTATTCCAATAAACATTTTCATTATTATGTCAATCACTATCTTCTACAAAGTTTTATGTAAATTTCACTATTTTATACGAACCAAAAAAAAATTCTTGAATGCCTGAGATTCCTCTTGTATTATAGCAGTCGAAATCCTATATCAATACAAACATCTTCGTAAAACAGGTGCTTCTGATTGAAGCAGGTGGTGAAGAGCCAGAAGTTGCAGACGTCCCAGCTTTCGCGCCAATGCTCCAAGGATCTAGCATAGACTGGGGATACAGGACACAACCGTCGCCGAAGAGCTGTCTAGCAAGAGATGAAGGCAGATGTCGATGGACCAGAGGGAAGGTTATGGGTAAGAACTCAAATTAGCAACTGATTCAGTAGTGTCAACTTCTAAATTTTTTTACACCAAACTAAGAGGCAGAAGCCTAAATACCATCGCGGCTGCTATGAGGAGCAGCTTAATGAAGCTTTGTTAATCCGATGTTTGAACTGCCTAAGGTTTGTCTTGCAGGCACATCGCGCGACGGCATCAGCGGTAGAAGAGAGCTAGATAACTGACGGCACATCGGTGCGAAAGGGAAGGCAGCACACTGAACATGTGAACAAGATCTTATCGGGGCCTTGTACAAACAGAGGAGGTCATGTAGAGAAAACTTCTCTTCAGCCTTAAGCAAATTGCCCAGCTTTCTCTAGCAGCTGTTGCTATGGACGAGATGTATTCGTGCCGCATCAAGTCCTCGGTGAAATGGAGGGCTCTCTAGAAGACCTCGCAATTCATCGAAACCGGATGAGCGCTAGGGAGCTTCTTATTTGTCAAGGCTTTGAAAGCATTTAACTGTACAAAATTGTTGCGACCCCAAGTGATAACCTCCAAGCCTCTCGTCAAGATACGTACCGTGCAGTAGGGGTATTACGTATCTTGTTGTGAATTCGTTTTGTAGCTGTACGTGTTACTTAAACGTCAGCGAACAGCGAATATAGCGAGCAAACGTGGAATGAACTGTTTGCACACAAAAACTAACCTAGTCTGCAAGATCACATACTCGTGCGGGTTAAAACATAATACGAAATGTCATCGCAGTAGCCCCATCGACAGGGGTAGCCCGTTAACAATGATGCATCATTTGGAAAGACAAATTTCAGCTTCATTTATTTGAAAAAAATGTACATTAAATCTAGATTCATTTGCTAAGCATCTTGTTTCTTGGACATTGTAAGGCTTTTATAGCCTCTCTAGCTGGGGAGTATTTACCCTAAGCCCAAAAAAGCCATCCATGGGCGGAGGCTGCGAGGGAAAGCTCAAGCCGCTTCAATCAAAAATATATTCCGTTCCTGTATGGGTCAGCAAACCTTAAGAGGTCCGGGGGCACTGAATCTTAAATTACGCTCTCTCTGGCAAAAAAGCTTGACAGTATTGCGCTGCCGGTCTTTGTTGCTGTGCCAGGCTCTATGGAAGTGCCACATACTCGCTAACCCTCCACAGTCATATACTACAAATCCCATTATGGTAATCCTTGCTGAATTTCATCATAATAGGTAGTGCTGCGCCGAGTTTTTGTATCAAAGTTATCCTGTTCTTCCCGCCATACAGCAAGTTGCAAATCTATTGTTTTTTTTATACTCCAACTACCACGAAGGCCTAAGCACCCATTGGGTACCGTGGGGCTATAGGGGGATACATGGGAAAGGGGGGACGCCACACGGACTCTGGCGAGGGAACACGTGTGCATGCAACATGCACACATTCTGGCTCCGCCTACGTGAACCGCCGGGTGGTACCTCCGCGTTCGACAGTCAGAGACCATCTACCACCTACGGACAATCACAACATCCATAGCCAAGAGAAAAATTTCTCCTGGGACGGGACTCGAACCCGCACAGCGCACGGCGATTGATCAGGAGACCAAAGAGTCTACTACTGCGGCCACCGCTGCCTGTTGGTTCCTTAATCTATTTTATCATCACGTACCTCTTGCTTAATATCACCCGTTTCACCATTGGTTGAACGTCAATCCATTTTCCCTCGCTCACAGTTTGCCACAATTGTCGGCCATGAGCTTCTCGCCGAGCATCATTTCCAGCTGTGTCTGGTACTGAACCTATCTGCCATATTCGAGTAAATGCTCTTGACTTTCTTTATGTTATCTTAGCATATTGATGGCCTAAATGCGTAGATCAAAGGGGACAATGAATCTCAAGTATTTGTTCGTACAGAGATGGGCCCATCGAAGTGACAATGCATTGACAGTTTCGGTCGCGCGCACAATTTCGATTTTCGACCTCTGTACATCTGAGATACAGAGCCTTAGAGTTAATATTTCATGCTCTGCTGAGTCTAGAACTTCTTACTGATATCAGTGTAATGTGGTTTCATTTGACGACGTATAGATCTTTGTGAATGGTTTCGCTATGCCCTTTACTACTTTCCTTTAGACTAATTTGTCATTCCGCAATTCCTTTTTAATCGATTTTTGGTTTGTTCGTACAGTAGTCAATAACTTGTCGGGGACTGTCAAAATCAGAATGAGAGAGACGTTACCTGTTCGTACAGAACCTTCTGACAGATCAGAGGACACCAGTCAACCACTGACAGAGACAGATATCAGTGTGTGTCGAAACTATCTTGAGGACAAAATTGCTTCGCAAAAAGCATTTAATGATCGATTGCTCTTCTCTAGTGGACGGTCTGGGGACACCTCCACACCGACGGGTCGTTGTCGATCTAGCTGCTCCAACGGGTTTTGCTCCTCACAGCTCTCTTCCATGGTGTCGCCGCGCCATGTGCCTGCCTGTCTTCGGCCTTCCATCGTAACCATGTCGAACTTCGTACATCCAAAACTGGTCGATAAGACCGCTCCTTTCTCTTCTCTGCTTCTGAGGGAGGCAGTTAAAAAATAGGTATAACAAAGTTTCTTTAAGCTCCTCAAAGCAGCCGCGGTGCCCTGGCATGTAGGCTTAACCTGCGCGGCTGCTTCGGTGTAAAAAACTGAGCGATATACCAAGAAGATTAAGACCTTGAAGATCTACTGGAGGAGAGAATGAAACCCAAAAACCTGAATTTTGTGGAGAAAACAGTGAAACAATTTATCAGCAACAAGCTTTTGTAACATTTTCGGATGAGCAAGTGGAAGAAGAAACATTTTGTTTATTGGCCCGGTAATGGCAAAATGAAGATTATGAATATAGTATGAAAAATCCAAAAAAGATAGGACCTAACTTTCAAGAACCATAATTAATACGATTTTTATAATCACTAATCTTTTGAAAATTTTTGTTACAGTGGCAAAATGCGAAATTACGCGATTTAAGGCTTACTACCATGTATTTTCGTAGTCTCAGTTCTTTTTGTCCATCTTGGGAACTCTGTGAAACATAGAGCTATATAAGCAGATCTTGATAATTTTATTGTAGTTATGTTCAGCTGTTTCAGCTTTTCAGTGTATAGCATCCTTTGTTACTCAAAGACGTTATTAAATTCTTGTAGTATTTTTACTTCTTTCTTCTAGTGAGATTCAGCATATACAAGGTGATTCAAATTTGGCACTCATCATTGGGATCTTGGAAACTGTAAGGGATCCGAAGTCGCTTAAATGGGGGTCAACGAAATGACCCTTAAAAAGTTTAAAAATTCAAAGTACTTCCGGAGAGTGTCAGAAAAGCGGAATTTTCCCAAAATCGTTTTGATTTTTGCCTGATTTTATTTATATTGGGATTTTGAAAAAAAATGGACACATTTACATTGGCACGTTTTCTCCTCTCAAGAAGGCATAATCAGAATTTCTATATGACTGCTCGTCTCTTGTCCTCCAGCATCAACTTTATTATTTCTTAAGGACGCTATACTGAATTTTTGCACAAATGAATATAATTTTTAATTTTGATACATTGACGTTGCCAAACCTTAATTACTGAAAAAAAAAGAATTTCTTAAGTAGGCCTTGAAATTGTTAGATATTTGTTTCCCTCACTAGATTCATCCAAAAATGGGATTTCAAAATAAATTGCATATTGTCATTGTTACTTATTCTCATCCACAAGATGGAGTAGTTAAATTTTAAATTCGACATTTTTTATTTCGACTTCCATCAACTTCCCTTTTTCATACAGACGCTATATTGGAATTTTGTACATTTAAATGGACTTTTCAGCCCTAAGTTCAGTGATGTGTTTTGTTAGATGACCATAAATTTGTTGTTGGATGAAAATTTAAGTAAATAAAAAGATATGGTGAAACCGGAACACGAAATGAAAATTTTATTGATGGTAATAACAATAATAACCATAAATAAGCAGAGGTCTGCACAGTCTTCCAAACTCTGTTGCATGCAAACAAATGAGATCTAATAATTTCAAGGCCTACATAAGAACTTCTGGAATAACTAAGGTTTTGCAATGTCAATGTATGACATAAATTTCTTAAATCAGAATAAAAATTCTATTCATGTGTGTAAGAACCCAATATGGCGTCTATAAGAAAAAATTAAGTAGATGCTGGAGGACAAGAGACGAAACGTCATATTGAAATTATAATTGTACTCGTAACGTTCTTATGTAGGCAATTAATACAGTCAGCGACATGTCAGTGACAGCTAACTGCGCAAACCAGGTCATGACTTGTCGCCGACTATCAGTTTGCTGATTGTCAACAAACAGGCTGTACGAACAAACCAATAATGAGTCGCTGGACGTTAAGGCAAAAGCCCATGATAAAAATTCCAATGCGCGGTACGATGAAAAGATTGAAACATTTCAACTGTTAAAGTGAAACAGTTTATCGTGTTGTAAAATGCAGTGAAGCGATCAATCATAACAGTTGGGCAACAGAGTCCATGAAAATAAAGAGTTGGTTATCAACATTTCGTACACATGGTTATGGTTGTTCAATCAAATTTAATTACTGCTGAGTATCTATATGCCGCGAGAAAAGGGAGCAATGTTTTCGCTTTGCTTCATCCTACCTATTTACAAGGGTAAAATGTAAAGTTCCTGAATATCCATTGATGTAACGGACACACTCGTCGGTTATACAGGTTGTCCTTAATTTGGGACTTTTCTATAGAGCCTATAAGTGATAAGCAAATTTTCCTAGTAATAAGTACACCAAAGCCTCAATATATCAGAGATATTAGGTCTTAAAAAAACTGAAAGGGCTAGCCTGGCCCTGCAAACTAACGTGAAAAGGTACTAGGTGCACCTTGGTATTCAAAGCACGCGTTGTGCGGTGTATTTCTTAACCTATTTGTGTATTATCAAATCGGATTCGAAAAAATAAAATTGACACAGTTCTAAAGCAATAGCGAAGGTATGGATATGATTTTAGTTTACGGTGAATATCTTCAAGATGTTATTGATACTTCAAGAGTGCATTCCGATCGTTCTCCTGGATGTTTCTATCCCGAGACGCGTGGATTGGTCCACATCCAATTACAGTTTTGTTCACATCAAATTACAACCAACAGAAAAGCTTGCAATCCTTATCGCCGCTGCGACCCATATGGATCTACTGAAAGCCTCCATATACACAGCCTAAAGCACTACGTCCAGCTTTGATCTCCTTAGCAGTCTCCGTAGTCTCTAGCCTCTAGCAGTGACACAACAGATCCATTGGGGTCTTCTCATGCTCGCTGCAGAAATGGCATGTGACCTCTTCTGCCAGACCCAAGCGCCTCACATGTCGATTTAGTCTACAGTGTCCTACTAGGAGACCTACCATGGCATTATGGCCTCCCTACTAAATCTGAGTAGGTCCTCTGTAAATGCAGGTTTTTGTTCTTTAATTAACTATTTTGTCTGCCTTTGCCATGACTCTAGGAACTTTTCTCCGTCAAATTTCTGATGGATCATTTAATGAGTGCTCTCACCACGTCACGGAAAAGCTCTAAGCCCATAATATGATTGACCGAACCCTGTCAGGCTAGCTCATCTGCTTTCTCATTTCCCTGGTACCCTGCTTCTGGCATCCAGAGCAGGGTTACCTTGTTTCAGTTTCCCAGCTCTTTGAAAGTATTCACTCGGTCCTCCACTAATTTAGATGATATTTGCAATAATGCCTTAACAGCCTCCTTCTTTATTATCTCTTTTGCACAGACTTATATGGCTGTTACCTCAGCCGGTAATATTGTTGCTATAGACATCTCGGTTCTTGGCCTTGTCCCATAGATCCTGTCTCCAACTCCGTTTTCATCGAGGTGGAAGCAATAGACCTAGACAGTCCCGAATGTCGCAAATTTGGGAACAAGTTATCAAATTTGTGTTTTTGAATGTCAGTGAAAATTTCAAACAGTATTTAAGTACAGCATGTAAGTAAGCAACACATAGAAATCTAGAAGAAAGTAGTTCAAAGTACGGTAGCCATGTTGGAAAGATTTCTAACTGCCTCCAATACTGGGGTCAATTTTTGAAGATAACTCTACAATAAGTACACGTCTCTTCCAACATCAGAATTTTTTAGATACTAAGAAATTCTCCCAGTAGGAAGATAATAACGTTCAGATGCAAGCTTCTCGTTCCGACAAGAACTGTGCTATGATGTTGAAATGTAGTGTGAAGCTTATTCCCAATTCCCATCATTTCTTGCGTCTTTCAAATGATTTATAGTTACCAAGTTCTCTAAGAAATGAGAGTTTACAGTTTACCTGTTCTCTTGAAAATGTAATCCGTAGTTTCGTAGATGACAGCACTTTGCATGCGGACATTTACAATGGAAAACCGATGTCCTCAAATCAATTGGGGACAAGTAGACGCATATCGATGGTTGCCATTTGACCTCTTGTTAAAAAATGTCCACCTCGAGATCTGGCGCTAGCGCGTCTCATCGATTGTCCCTGAAAAAAGCCTAGGACCTCTGATAGAACTTCCAAATACTGGTCATCAGTCAATCATCTTACTCTGAAGAAGCTAGTACTGCTCCCAAAGGACTGCTGTCAAGACTACATTGTCTCACACTTGATGAGGACTCTCAAAATCTTTTCTTAAAAAAATTTTGCACTATTATCCACACAGCCTCAACGAGCGAAATGTGTTTCTTTATTACGATTATCATTGCTTTTAACTTTCCAATTTTTATGCACTTTAAAAAAAACGCGCAACGTTTTTTATGTCTATAATATGTATTATGTTTATTCAGGTGGCTCCTCGGTAGTCAACTACCTCATCTACATCCGAGGTCATCCAGCTGACTACGATGAATGGGCAAGTTTGGGAAATCCTGGTTGGGAGTACAAGAACATCCTTCCATACTTCATTAAGTCTGAAGACAACAGTAACCCTGAAAGAGTCAACCCATATTATCATGGGTCTGGAGGATGGCAGACTATCGAGTATTTCCCCTACCAAGATCAGGTATGGAATCGACAATCCTTCAAACATTTTTGAATACGTTCTGCTTACGGAATAAAAAACATTCAAAATTATGTTACTTTTATCAGAATTTAAGATATGTAATCGTATAGCTCCTGATACAAATCTGATATATCCATTTTAATGACTGCCTTGTTTTCATTATCAAGCTTCTGTTATATCTTTTATCCAATAAATATATTTCAGGTTACTTTGGGACTAGTACAAGCCTACGAAGAGCTGGGTTTAAAATACGTTGATCAAAACTCGGACACTGTAATAGGAACCCAGCTTTTACAGCACACTACTAGAGATGGTGCTAGACTAAGTGCGAACGGTGCCTTCATAAGACCAATTAGAAATAGGAGGCAGAATTTCAAGATTGCAAACAACGCTCAAGTCACCAGGGTTCTTATAGACCCAAATACTAAAACTGCTTATGGAGTTGAGTACGTCAACCAAAAGGGCAAGTTGACTAGGGTACTGGCTAGGAAGGAAGTGATATTGTCTGCTGGTGCTATTAATTCGCCAATAATATTGATGAACAGTGGTGTAGGGCCTTCAGACCAACTGTTTCCACATGGTATACCTGTGATAAAGGAGCTTGCTGTTGGATATAATTTACAAGATCACACAACAATTGACGGTGTAGTTTTTCAAATTGCAAATCGGTCAAACACTGTTGTCAGTAACGAGCAAAGAAATAATGACGTATACTATTGGATAGACACACACCGGGGTCCGCTGTCTTCAACAGGTGCCTTGCAAGCCAATGCAATGGTCCAGACCAAATACGAAGAAAGTGCTGATAGACCTGACATCCAATACTCCTTGGATGCTACAGATGTCGACAACTTCTTTACTGACCCTATCCTCACTTACAACACTGGAGTGTTACCTCTTTCATACTACAGTGGATTGACTGTCAGACCAATTCTCTTACCTCCAGCTTCCACAGGTAGGATCTTGCTGAATGACACAGATCCCATCTTTGGTGAACCAGTGATTAATGCCAACACTTTTTCCGAAGAAATAGATTTATTAAGGATGGTAGAAGGTGTTAAGCAAAGTCTGAACTTGGAACGTACATCTACGTTCCAAAAACTTGGTATACAACTTGTGAGAACTCCACTACCAGCATGTAACCACGTACAATTTGGGTCTGACGAATATTGGGCTTGTGTTGCAATGTCTTACACCACAACTATCTTTCATCCTGTGGGAACGTGTAAAATGGGACCTCCTAGCGACCCAGGAGCTGTGGTAGACCATGAACTGAAGGTATATGGGATCAAGAACCTCAGAGTGATAGATGCATCCATCATGCCAAAGATAGTAAGAGGAAACACGAATGCTCCTGTACTGATGATTGCAGAGAAAGCTAGTGATGATATCAAGAAACACTGGCATGGAAATACACATGGAGAAGGAGTGGGAACTCGTCTAGCTTCAGGTGGTCAAGAATTGTTCTCAGGAAATCAAGATGTTGGTCATTCAGATGCGAGTGTGCAGCATACGGTGCATGATGAGTTCTTCAAGGATTTTTATAGTCCGTTTGACTTCAACACGTTCTATAACGCACATTTGAAATAACGCTGTTTTTCGTTTATGTTTCGTTCAAAAAGTATTTATTGAAACAAGATGCCATTATAACTCATTCCATCATATACAGGGTACACCACATTACTTGCAATGACCAGCAATACAAAAAAATGGTAGTATTGTGAAATTGCAAGGATTCTAAGAATGGTTGTATGAACATTGACATCTACTGTTTTTATATCGAATTTTGTAAAATAAAGTCAGTAGTTATAAGAATAAGGCAAGACAGAGTTCTATATAAAGAAAAAGTAGTTCAGCAGATTATGTTCGGAATACTTAACGAATACAATTCAGCTTTCATCTGGATCAACACTTTAGATAGCTACCTATAACCCATAAAAGGTTTTCCAAACTTGACAGATGCATGGTAGAGCACAGAGCGGGGGGAGTAGGGGGCCGTGGGTCTCCCTAGGAATCTGGTTGGACCGCTCTTTAGAAAGCTTTGGGGATAGGTAAACTTTCACAAAAACTTATCTTTTGCCGATGATTGGCCCTCCCTAAAAACAATTCCTGCGGGCGACCAAGGAGTGAGGTATCTTCTGACCAAAGTAATGGGATATTGGTAGAGAAAACTGCAACACATTTCTTAAGTAAATCCTTACCTCCAGTAAAGATGTTACATTGCGACATTGCAAATTATGGGACCATTCAAGACATCGACCAAGGTATAGAACTTTCAACCTTGTAACATACAAATTGATCTTACTTAGTCTGACAATTTTCATTTATCTTTATCTGGCAGTTAACTGACATATGCATCACATAAAGTTGCCTGCAGAATAAGAATCATCTGGAAATTATGAGATTGGTCCTCACTGTTGTCTTTTTATTCATATAATTGAAACTCGTCAGACACAACTTTTGTACAGGTACTGTTATAAGAAATAGTATATTTATTGTCGACCCTGTATATAAATACATCATAGCTCCAGTTCACTATTATCATTAGATTATTTATGCATGTCTGATGGTGAATGCCAATGTTATTTTGTGGTGTTATTTATTTGCTGTATATACATCGTAGTTGAATAAAGTTATTTTTGTATTAGAATTAATATTGCTAATTTATTATTTCTCGTTGCAATACGATAGGTTTCGCGTTTCACTATCTAATTCATGCTAATATTCTGCTAAGCACTACTTATTAGGAGTAATTACGGTCAGCGGCTTGATAAACGGATATACAGAGTGAAGTGAACGTGTGCAAGGTGTTGCATCAAGTTGGTCAGCTCAATAACTCCCACACAAATGCAATTTCAGGCGCATTTTTTTTTGTGAAGGTCATATACAGTAGCGGACAAAAGTTTGGAAACATTCTTAGTAATTTTTAAAAAGTGCGCTGATTTTTTATTCTTCATTATTAAGGACTATTTTTAGCTTACAATCCTGAGGACACAAATGACAATTTCTGTTTGCTGTGGTACTACAGATTACCATTAAAATACCGTCATATTATTTTATGACCGAAAATGAGACGACAAAGGTATGGAAACATATTTTTTATTATGAGATTATATACAATAACTCTACAATAAGATTAAATAAGTACTGTTTAGCCAATATTTAGTAGCATAGCCTTTAGTATTCAACACTGCCTGACATACGTTGCTCATAGAAGACACCAATTTTTTACAGACATCTGTCGGGATATTTTGCCAAATATTTTTTACATAATCAAATAAATCGTTCCTGTTGTAAAAAGTTTTTTTTTGACAGTTTTCCTTTAACATGCTCCCAGAGATGTTCTATAAGGCTTAGGTCCGAGGATTGCGAAGGCCATGTAAGAACATTAACATTTTTTAGACTTAGTCAGTCTTTTACGGATTTTGAAGTATGCTTGGGGTGATTACTTTGCTGGAATATTCATCGTAAAGGCATTTCTTCTTCAGCAAAAGGGATCATGTGTCTACTAAGAATTTCTTTGTAAAGGTTTTGATCCATTTTCCCAACAATTTTTAACAATTGGACCCGTTCCAGAACTAGAAAAACAGCCCCAAACCATGATGTTGCCTCCACCGTACTTAATTATTGCCAACTGATACTTTTTGTCAAATCTTTTTCGTATTGGACGTCTCACATATACCGTACCGTCAGATCCAAACAAGTTAAATTTGCTTTCATCGTTCCATAAAACTGTATCCCATTGTTGTACTGCCCAAGTTAGATGAGTTTTAGCAAATTCATGCCGAGCAATTCGATTTTTTTAAATGAGAGGCTTTTGCAATGGACGCCTACCAAAAAGCCCAACATCCACCAAGCGTCTCTGCATAGTTCTGACAGAATTCTCGGCAACCTCTTCTAGGATTCTTTCGAAAATCTGTGTGGCTGGCATTCGAAGATCTTCATGGGACAAACGTTTAATGTAGCGATCCATAATCGGTTTCTTGTCGGTCTTCCGCACCTGGGCCGTTCCTGTTAATCCGTATTTTTGGTATTTATTAATACTTTTTGAGATCGTCCCATTGTTAATTTTGAGAAATGTCAACATTTCAGACATCACTTCTAAATAATTCAAGTACTTTGTCTCTCAAATCTTTCGGAAATACTTTTACTTTTGCAATTCTCACTGATGTTAATATTTACCTCACGCAATATCAGAGTATCGCAGTACGAATAAAAACGGCAAAACTGAAATGTTTCCATACCTTTGTCGTTACAAAATCTGCGGTATTTAAAAAAAGGAGTGTTTTTATTTTCAGAAAATTTTAATATTGATAAGATAAACCGTGTATTAGTATGGGAGCCAAAGGTAGACTTTAATATTTATATTATCTATTCCTTCACAATTTTGATTTAGGTATATTAAGATGATTCATGTCAATATTTGTTTCCAAACTTTTGTCCGCACTGTACATGCTTAGGTAAAAAGGTGAACCGCGTGGTGTGACGATAGTCTTACCTATTATCGTATCCTTTTTCGACGCGTTTCACCCTCGTTTTTAAGATTATTGCTTGTACGCTGTACGCAAGTCCGGGATGAGACAGCATCAGTCATAGGAACTGCTATTATCATGTATGAAAATGGAAAACTGCCTCATAACTTAAAATGGGTTCCGTATCAACAGAGAATAGCCACTTCAATAAGCCGCATTTTGTTACAATACAAAAGTTTAGCGGCCTTGTGTAGCTACTGGCAGTTGATGACAATGATCGTCAAGATGAACACCCTAAATGACAGAAAAAAACCTCTTGCAATTCGTCAACTAAACCAGGGCTTAAATGTAGTTCGTTAACAGAGAAAGACGTTGGACGCTGTGTTAGATCTGCCTAGCCTTTGCCCATAGTTTAATTTCAGTTCAAGGATACATTTTTGGCACAATTTTGACTGGCAGTCGGACTGTTCGGCCAGCGTTGTAGCATTTTCATGCTGAATATCACCAACCGTGGGATAGCTTTGCAAGTTCGCAACGTTAATCAAGACACTATCAAATCTAATAACCAAGCGATATCTGCTGTCAAACTGACCAATTAATCAAATGGCTACTGCTATTCAGCATAAAGCGCTGCACCACTGGACCACTTTAGGATGGTTTAGCTGAATGCTCTCAATAACAGAGCATGTTGTTGACAGCATTAACTTGGCTTCGTTGTCACGGAAACACTTGATGGTGAAGCATAGTCACAGAGTAAAGGATACTTAAAAGAAGACGTTGGTTGCCTGATCCTCAAGACTTCTCCAACATCCCAACTAGTAAAGTAGTGGTATAAGCTTTCGGTAAAAGAACCGTTCAGCCATAAAAGCTCTCTATTTTTGTTGCCTGAACACCAAAATGCTGGCTTAATGTTGTGTGGAATGCAAATTTGCTTTCTGCAACACATTTGCTCTAAAACGAGGTGTTTAAGATATTCTTATAGCATAGTTATCCAACACCTTATAGGACAAATTTTTAACTGTTGCATAAACGTTTATACAACTATTTTATACGGCATATTTGCACGTTAGTCAAAATGGTTGTGTTGTGGCATCCATGGTAACGTTTATACAACAAACCCGAGTCTTGTTGTTTTGCTGTTCAATTTACTACTTCAGCCAACAAATTGCTCCCAACGGAAGCACTTATACAACTGTTGTTTAGTAACTGTTAAAGGCTGTACATATGCTAAATATGTTGTATACAACTTCACCATAACCTAACTTTCTGCTGTCATATTTTTGTTAAAATGCCATAACCAATGTCTTAAGACAAACAACGCATGCATATTGGTTCAAAATGATTTATCAACTGTTCAAACATAAGATATAGATCTGGTACAAATTCTGGGTAAATCATTCGACTCTATCGGTATTTCATTTCAGACATTTGTCAAATTGTTGTATAACACCTGCAGGCAATACCAAAATATTCTAATAACCTAAAGATAACATGGACGATGCCATGATTATACACAACCACCCACCATATTGGGCAAACATTTATTCCTCTATTTAATATTAAATATACGTAATTATGTTTCAGTTCGAAATTACAGATATAAAGTGATAACCATTAGTGTAATTGTGTCTAAATATAGGATTTGTGGAAGATTTAACGCAGATAAGTTCAGTTATCCATCTTAAAAATCCAGACATACTTTTGATCATTATCAAAATATGAATCAAATACGAAGCCCGTAGAAATTGCGTAACTAATTTGCACGATAATCACAATGAAATTTGATGCGCAAGTAATTCAATAGCTCTATATCACAGTGTACAAGTTTTATCATATACCTGTGTATGAAATTCACAATGGCCGATATGTAAGTAAACAAGATGACTGTAATGTGTTAGTTATATATTCTTCTTAGTCTATTCAATACATAAGAAATATTTTGGTTGCAATAAAGTAGAATCACGTAACAGAATAGTTGTATAGTTGACAAAAACTGAATCTTGCACTGACGCAAATGTCCTATAGCGGCTGCAAGAGGCTTACACTTTTGTTGTATAACTGTTACCTGCAGCCCTTATACAAGGGCGGTCCGCAACGGGTGTCACCTTTTTTTGGGGTGACACCCACCCAGTGACTCAACTTTAAGAAAAATGTACAAGCATAAAAAAAATTCACAGATATCATTGCAAATTAAAAGCTTAACTGTTGACGGAACTGCTACAAAAATAGAGGGACTTCGTCTTTATATAGAAGAAAAACGGGGTCACATTGTGGAAGAGGCAACAGATGTTGCTAAAGAAAAATCAGAAAGACGACTTCGTCGTAAAAAACGGGTGGTTGGTGAGATAACCAGTGATGCAGGACTTACACTGACAGAAGAACTTCATAAAGATAGATTAGAATGTCTTAACCGACTCAGAGTTGAACTCGACACAAGATCAAAGTCTCTTCAAGACCTAGCCTCATTGTTCAAAATCGTACAAAGAAGTACTTTGCTTTTGACGAATACTGAAGAAATTAGCTACCTACATCCAAATTTTCTGATTTTTATGATAAGGTCTCAGAAACAGAATTACTTTTGGAGATACCAAGACTGCGAATATAGCTAAAAGCCGTTAATGTTACATTTTCTGATTGGGTATCTCTGGATTTTTTAAAGTTTACTGTAAAATGGGATTTTACATTATCTCCTCCAAATCTTACGATTGCACTCAAATTGTTCATGACGATTTGCGTGTCCGTAACTTCATGTGAAAGGAGTTTCAGTAAACTAAAATTCATAAAAAAGTATTGCGGGCAATAGTGACTCAATTGCGGCTTAGCAATCTTGGCATACTAGCCATCGAATACGAGGCAATACAAAATATAAATGTTAATGAAGTTATTTCTGAGAAGAGATTTTAATTGTAAGATAAAAATATGTTTTCTGTCTTAGTTTTGTGTTTCGTTATTGTTCAATATTTTAAATATAAATTATTTATAAATCATATAAAATTTATTGCTTTTGACTTTCGATGGGGTGACCCACCAACTTCCGCACCGCGGAATGAGAAAACGTGTTTTTGGGATTCAATCGAAAGTGTTGGCAGGGCCGAAAAAACTCTTCATATAAGATTTTTAGGTATTTATGAGACCTACCAAATGAGTCCCCACGTAAAAAGATACGACTAATTGCAAAAAAGTTATGACCGAAAACCGAAGCAAACTGCTGGTTTTGGCAGTTGTTGGTAATGCGACGATGGTTTCTCGTAGATATCTGAAGTTCTTCAAATTCCTAGGATTCGTACTTCTGAATAACCACAACGAAATTGGAGTAGATTGGTCAACTAGTTTTTGAGAATTTTCTAATTGCTTATCCATCACTACAAGTTTATTGAACAATATTCATGGTTAGTTCAAAGGGCATTTTATAGCAAAATACACTAGTTTACCTCGCCTATATGAAATGCAAACCATTCCGGAAGGTAAATGTTATTTTTATGCAAAAAAGGATGGGTTGCGTTTTTTCTTCTAAACAAATTCAAATATTTCGTATTTGTGAGTAATTCGCAACAAAAGATGAGATACATCCACTTTGTGTTAAAATGTCTATAGTAACGTATGTTTTCCGAATATCGTAGCGCAATTGTTCAATTACTCACAAATATGAATGTTTGAATTTATTTAGAAGAAAAAAGCGCAACATTCGTTTTTCGCTTAAAAATAACATTTATCTTTGGGAATGGTTTGTGATTCATATCGACAATGTAAACACGTGTATTTTGCTATGAAATGCTCTTTGAACGACCCCTGTACATTGCTCAATAAACTAGTAGCGATCGCCGGAAAACAGGTGTTTAGGGATGAACAATTAGAAATACTCAAAAAACTACTTGACGAATATATACGTACTGCAATTTTGTTGTTATTTATGAGTCCTATGAATTTGAAGAATTTCAAGTACTTGCGTGGAATTATCGTCGCATTACGAACAAGGGCCAAAACCTGCATTTTGCCCAGTTTTTCGGCCATAACATTTTTGCTTTTGTAGTCAAATAAACAGTTTTTCAACAAAAATTGGTGTACTAATTTTATGCGTCCATGTTTTAAATACCCCATTGAACAACGTGCACCAATAAAACCAGACTTTACAATTATTTCGGGGAAATTTGGAAATATGATTAGACTAATGAACGAATACTATTTATTAACGAGCTTGATGACATCAAGGCACACGTTTCTGAGGCCGTAGGAACCAATAGCCTGGTCTGAAAATCCTGGCACTACAATTCTTCGTGTTTATATGTGTATACACTTACCTTTCAAATGACTTGGCAAATGTAATTAATGAATACTTGACCAGCGCACTGCCAAGACAATTAGAGCATGCTCTCAATAATTACATTCAAGGATTTGTCGTTGTATTGCATGTTCAATCATCAAATTTAAAAATGCAGTATTAATATATCTTGGGCGCACCCTAAATAAAACGAATGACAAGTTGCATTCCTGCGATTGATTGTAAAGTAGTAGAAACTGATGAAAATCTGTGTATCAAGGACGGCCGTTGAATCAATGGTAAGCTTAATAAAAAACATGCAAGAAAAGTGTGCTGATAAAAAATTCTTTTTCACATGACTCGGCGTAAAAGGTGAAGTCAACCAGACTGGCTCAGTTCGCATCGAAATGCAAAAATTTTCCCTTTTTTTGTGAAAGTATCGGTTCTCAGTTTGAATTCCATAACCTTTTAAAGTAACGTCACTAAAATATCGTTTATTTTTTGCATTTGTTGTTGACCGAAACGCATTGTATATTAACTACTCTGGACCTTAAACACTACTATAACAACAACACTAGTTGCGTGCCCTCCGAAATACAGGGTGTTTAAATTTACTTT